ATAAATCTACTTAATGCCTCTTGACTCTATTCAGTTCCATTAGTCTATCTGTCTGTATCTTTGACAATACATCACCATGTTGGATAATAAATTTTAAAATAGAGTAATAGTATTTCTCCAACTTTGCTCCTCTTCAGAATTGTTTTAGCTATTGTTTGGCTCCTTTGCCTTTCAAAGTAAGTGTAGAATCATCTTGTCTCTATCAAAAAATTCTGCTAGATGCTCTCACTCTTATGGGGAAGCTAAAAAACTGTATCTAATGAAAATAGTGAACAGATTTGTGGTTACCAGAGGCCAGAAAGAGTAGTAAGAGATGAAAAAAGTATGTTTAATGGGTACAAAAACACTGTTAGATAGAAGAAATAAGACCTAGTGTTCTATAAATCAGTAGTGTGACTACAGTACAAAATTGTCTATCGGATCTTTCAAAATAGCTAGAAGAGAATAATTCACTCCTAGCATGAAAAAAAGATAAATGTTTAAAATAATGGATAATTACACATTATATTAATGTATCAAAATGTTACATGTACCTCAAAAATACAGTATGTTCAATATTATACATCAATAAAATTTTTTAAATCCTTCTGGAATTTTGATTTGAGTAACTTTAAATTGACAGATCAATTTAAGCAAAATTGACACCACTACTATGTTCAGTCCTCTAATCCATGAACACAGTATGGCTTTCCATTTATTTAAGTCTTCCTTTATTTCTCTTATTAGCATTTTGCAGTTTTAAGCATACAGCTCCTATCTATGTTTTGATATACATTAAGTATATTAAGGAGAGCCATGATAAATATTATTTTAAATTTAGATTTCCAACTGGCAATTGTTAGTATACAGAAACACAATCTTTTTTTTCCTTTTAACCATGTGTGACCTTTGTAAGTTCACATTTTAGTTCTATGAGACTTTTGTATTATCTTTGGAATTGTCTTGTAGACACTTATGTCATCTGCAAATAGGATCTGCTTTATTTCTTCCTTTATAACCTGTATGCCTTTTATTTATTTTCCTTGCTGAATACTTATTGCACTGGCTAAAACTTTCAGTACAATCCTGAGTAGGAGTGGTGAGAGTGGGCATCCTCGCCTTATTCCTTATGTTAGGAGGAAAGTATTCAGCCCTTCACCATTTAGTGTAATGTTAGCTCTAAATTTTTTGTAGATACCATTTATCAGATTGAGGAAGTTCCTCTCTATTCCTTGTTCGCTGAGGATTTTCTAAAAATCATGAATGAATGTTGATTTGTTTTTAAAATTAAATTTAAAAAATTTGTTTGAGACAGAGTCTGATTCTGTCGCCTTGAATAGAGTGACGTGGCATTATCATAGTTCACAGTAACCTCAAACTCCTGGGCTCGACCAAGCCTCCTGCTTCAGCCTCCGAGTAGCTGGGACTATAAGCACCCACCACGATACCCAGCTAGTTTTTTCTATTTTTAGTAGAGATGGAGTGTCACTCTTGCTCAGGCTGGTCTTGAACTGCTGACCTCAGGCCATCCATTCACCTTGGCCCCACAGAGTGCTAGGATTACAGGCTGAGCCACCACACCTGGCCAGATTCCCTGATCTTGATGTCAACACATGTACAGATTACCTCGCACAATTGTCTGCCTTGTCCTCACATTCTAGGGTATTGCCTATTTGGAACATTCCCTTATATTTTCACTAAGCTCTCTCTCTCTCTGGCTTAACAGCTTTTATAATATAAAAATATTTATCAATTCTATTTATTTATTTTTTTTATTGAGACAGAGTCTCAATCTGTATGTGCCCTCGGTAGAGCGCTGTGGCATCATAGCTCACAACAACTTCAAACTGTTAGGCTCAGGTAATCCCTTGTCTCAACCCCCCCCCCCCCCCCCAGTAGCTGGGACTATAGGCAACTGCCACAATGCCTGGCTAGTTTTTCTGTTTTTAGTAGGGATGGGGTCTCACTCTTGCCCAGAGGGCTAGGATTATAGGCATGAGGCACCTCAGCTGGCCAAGAGCAGATATTTGGAAACAACCTAAATGCCTATCAGTATGAGATAATTAAGTATACCATAGTATGAGGTTGGACAATTAAGTTTGCAACCTCATCCTAGAAAAAGTGCCACATACCTTGTTGCTAAAATATCACTACAGCCGCCTTCAAAATACTCCCCTTGGCCATCTGGTGAACTAAAGCTACAAGTGCCAAGCTAGATGACTTTCATAAGCACATTACATAAATAAGCAGTTGAAGGTTACCTAAAGTATGCTAGTATTTAGCTAAAGTTTAAAACAATTTGAAAAACAATACTAGGTCTGGTGAATTTCTATGTGCTATTTCTAGATATAGTCATATACCTATATAGAAAAAGTATTAAAACACGCATGAGACCGAAAAAAGAACCAAATTTCGGACAGGATAGGGGTGATTTCTGAGGAAGGAGGGAGGGAGGGAATGACATGAGGGAAATACGTGGGGCTGTGAATTTGTATAATTTTTTTTTTCTTTTTTAAACAATGGACTTGAGGCAAACAAGAAAGGAATGGATTTGAGGCAGAAAAGTTAAAGAATAATAATAAGACTGGTTGGTGGCTGTGTGAATTTTTGCTATGCTATTCTGATTCTTTTCTTTCTTTCTTTCTTTTTTTTTTTTTTTTTTTTT